TATTTACATAATTTAAGAGAAGATTTTGAAAAATTTGAAAACACAACACAACAAATACTGCCAAATACTGGTTATCAATTAGTTCACAGTCACAGAAGCCTTAGAAAGAAACAAGAAAATGACAGAAATGCTCTAGAAGTATCATTGAGTGTCAGAGATCAACTTTGTGTAACCTCATACTATACTATCATTGACACACTTGAATCTTGCATGAAAAGAGGGGTGAGAGTGGATGAAATTCTTTCAAATAGATTTCCCTTCTTAAACAATGTAGATATACCTGATGAAGAATGCATAAAGGCATCTAAGAAATTAGTGCAGGCTTATCCTGGTGACTTAAATACCTACCTTTAGAAAGAGGTGTAATAATTTCATTCTTACATGAGAACTAAGTTTACAGATTTAGGAAAGACAAATGTTACTCATGTAGGCATGTATAATTCCATAATAGAAGATAAAATACAATGCATATTTCCCAATGTTGAAATTGCTTTACACATATTCCTAATTTTAATGATCACAAACTGCACAACAGAACACTCATTTTCATCCCTAAAGAGACTCTAAAGAGACTCAAAAACCCTCAGTATACAATGATTCAAGAAAGATTCGATTCATTATCCTTATTATGTATAGAAATAGATATTGTTTAGCAGTTTAACTGTGATGAAATCATTTGTAACAGCAAAGAAGAGAAAGAAATGTTTTTAATTATAACATGTTAGAGATGAAAGATCTATCTAAAAAGAAAATATTTGTTGTAATATTTGCTTTCTGATCACTAAATTTTCTTTTATGACATCTTTTCATTTCATTTATAATTATAGCATTTATTATGAAACAAGCATCAAAACTGAAGTATGAACCATTTAAAGCAAAACTGGTGAAAATCTATCTATCCTGGGAGAGCAATAGAATTTTACATTAATTGTTGAAACAACTAAGTTCACTGACTCATTTTCTTTGTTGTAGAATATGTGGAATATTCTTTTTGTAAAAAATGTAGTACTTAGTAAAAATCTTAGTACCCCACATCCACTAAAAATATTATAATCCAGTTTATCTCATTCTGCTAAAATGCATACGCTGCTTTTGCATTCAATTGCTGATAGTATAGTCTCATTTAAAAATAAGTTACATTATGGATAGCTAAGACATACAGACACACACACACACACGCACATGCAATCTGATACCTGATAAAGTAAACTGTAACCTAATATGGTGATGTTGTTCAGTATGTATGATGTACTGCACACTGATGTTCAGATGAGGCCCGAAGGGCTTGAAGAAGGTGACTTGTTTGCCCAGAACCATGTACTACTACCTCCTGGCAGAGGAGAGGGCCCTACAGATTATCAGTCTGTAGGGCCCTCACATGCCTTAATCTGGCCCTGGTTCCAAAGCAACTCTGACAGGCGGTAGTAGTGTGTGGTTCTGGACAAACAAGTCACCTTCTCCATGCCTTTGGGGCCTCATCTGTACATCTCTGTGCAGGACATCATACGTATGGAACAACATCACCATATTAGGTTACAGTTTACTTTATCAGGTATCCTCTTGTGACAGAGCCCTGGTGGTACAGTGGTTAAGTGCTTGGCCACTAACTGAAAGGTCAGTGGTTTGAATCCACCAGTCACTCCACAGGAGAAAAATGGGCAGTCTGCTTCTACAGAGTAAAATGGCCAATAAGGTTCTACCTGATCCACTCCACTCTCAATGCTATGACCTCACCACGCTCAGCCCCTACTTTCTCACCCACAGCATGGACACTGTCTAGAGATTAAATAACTAGGTGAGTCATTCATTCATTCAACAAACACTAACTGAGCCCGAAACCATGCTGGTTCCTGCCCTTGCCTGGAGTGAGCCGTGGTTCCCTCTGTGAGGACACTCACCTCAGCAGCCCCAGGCTCACTCTCTCAAGCTGCTGAGCCTTGGAAGCAGAAGCTGGGTCACTGTGTGCAATAATAGCAACCCTCTCCCTCCCACAAGCACACATCATCCCTAAATCGCGTCATGAACTCTCCGTGGCACCGTCCACTGAATGTCTGTGTGATCACTGTCCATCTCTCCCTCCTAGAATTCTAGCTCCTGAGGGCAGGGGCTTTGAGACTGCGGTGTCCCTACACCCAGAGAGGGCCTAGGATGTTCAAATACCATTTTTTTTTAAAGGATAAAATAAGTTTTTATTCATAGTCTTATATTAAAGGGGGAAGCCTTAACTTATAAGACACTTCTTCCACAGTGTGTACAACATACTTTTTATTTCCTTGGAATGGAATCAAACACAGGCTGAGACTGCAGCGTATACACTAGAAGCCAGCAAATGCCAGGAACGGAGGAGGAAAAGGACAAAGAAACGAGGCCTAAACACACAACCCCTCATGGGATCTGCTGACCGCAGCCAGGACCAGGGCTGGGTCACACGACGGAGACAGAACAAGGGCCGGGTCACACGACGGAGACAGAACCAGGGCCGGGTCACACGACGGAGACAGAACCAGGGCCGGGTCACACGACGGAGACAGAACCAGGGCCGGGTCACACGACGGAGACAGAACCAGGGTTGGGTCACATAATGGAGACAGGTTCCAGACAGAAGGAGAGGAGGGGGTGAGGGCGGGCAAAGGTCTGCACTGGCGTGCACGAGTTTACTGCCAAATAAATCATTCTTGGTATATGCAAACAAATCAGCTGGCTCTATTTCTTAGAAGTGCACATGGAAAGAAAGGAAGATGTCATCATTACTTTACTTTATGAATCTGTCGCTTTGCAATACCAACATCATCAGAAATAGGGACAAGTCACTAAGATTCAAACTTCAGTAGCAGGAAATAAATATCAAAACATCATCACTGGACCTCAGTACAAAACCTCTACCTCCACTTAGTCCTCCTCTTCCCTGCCCCACCCCCCAAAAACCACCCCCTACCAACTCCCAGGTGGCTCACACGTCAGGGCTGCTTTCTCCCATGCACACCATGGAGGGCCACACAGCCCCCGCAGGGCTGCCACGCAGGCTTAGCAGAGCTGCTGAGAGAAGCAGCAGTGAAACGTGCCAAAGACTCTGCTCTGCAAATCTGCCTCCACTTTCCTTTTATACCACCAACTTCTTCAAGGATCTGATTTTTCAATAGGAGTGATAACCAGCTTTTTAGGGAAAAAAAATCCTTAAAAAGGGAGGGTAGCAATAATTCTGATCATTCCAAACTGATGGTCTTCTTAAAGCAGAGCAGTTCATAGACTCACAGTCCATCAAGCAGAGGTGAAGGCAGACTGGGAGGGGAGGCCTGTGAGGGGAAGGAAGGGCCATGGGCTGGAGGAACTGGTGAGGTCGTTAAGACACCATGTGCTCAGAGGTCCAGCCAGCCATCTCATCCACAGAAAAAGCTGCCAAGTTGGAGTGTTTTGGTTTAAAAATTCCTAGTGGGGACATGGAATCTCTGAAGGAAAATGTTAAAAAAAAAAAGTAGTGCAAATGGAGGAGAATGAGAGCTGTTGTCCAAGAGCTTTTATGTAAAAATAAAAACTCAAAAAAAAAAGAAAAAGAAGGAGTAAGAAAAATAGTGTCTTAAATGGTTCAGAGGGTTCTAATGATGAACTGAAAGAGGATGAGGCGACAGAGGAGACAGTTTTCATTGCTGGCCTGCCCCACTTAGCTTAGCTTATTTGGCCTCCATCTGGAGTTTCTTCCTGCTTTGGGGCACTTCGGGCTCAGAGATAGAGTCCAAGCCCCCATGGCAGGCGTAAATGGTGCTGCCCTTGGCGCTGGTATACAGGCTGTTGTCTGAGGAGGGGTAATTTGGTCTGCAGTTGGGCACTCAACCTCACCTTCTGCAGTGCTTGCTGTTCCAGAAGAGCATTCTGTTGCTTGAGGTCGTCAGTATCTTGCTGGCAGGTGTGGTTTTTCCTTTGAGTATACCGGATATACTCTGTGGCTTTGTCTAGGATTTGGGCCTAGAATGCCTTCTCTCCTTGGAGTGATGGGACCAAGTCCCACAAACTGTGAATGCTGGCTTTGATGTGGTCCCTACGTTTTCACTCCCCTGCAGTATGATGAGCCCATTTTTCAGCGTCACTCTCCACCTCAATGTCATCGTCATTGCTCATTTCCTAAGGCCCAGGGAGCAGCCACTGCAGCAGCGGCAGGAGAGGGGGAAGGGTGGTGGGGAAGGGGAAGTCACCCACAACAACAAGCCAAGTTCCCTCCTCCACACACACACTCACTCACTCTTTCACTCACACACACAACTCAGCCCAGAACCACCTCACTCCAAATAGCTTTTTGAATGGGGGAATGATTTAAACATTAAAGATTTCATTTGAAATTCACCTTATCCATGATTTTGTTAAAAGTCAAACTTTATTAAGGATGTGAAGGCTTTGAGAAAAATCCTTCTTCTTAAACATGCCAGCACAAACCCTGGAAATAGTGAGAGGTGGGCAGAATTGGGCGTGGTATGCTTCATGTGTCAGGAATCAGGAAACATGAAATGACCCAGTTGCTGATAACAGTAAGCTAAAGGTCTGATAGCTCTTTCATTGATAAAATCAGAGGCAGTTATTTAGTGAAGAGGTAGAAACTCCACAGCATTTTATACAAACTTCTGTTTCAAAACCAACTAAAAAAGTATTACAAATTCTCAGTTATCTGTCTGTTTCCTCAGCCATCAGTGCATGTCCTAAGAGGAGGCCCTGTGATGAATTCACCCCGTTATCCTCAATACAAAGACAGTGTCAGGCACATTCCAAGCATTACAGAAGTTGTTGAATTAATTCGTGAAGAAAAAGAACATGCATTCAGTAAAATAAGACGCAGAGAAGTGTATAAGCATATTTTAGAACAATTTCCACTAAGAACAGCTAATATCAGGTTCTAGCACAAAGGTCCTATTCCTATGTGTTGAAAAGACAGGTTTTTTTTTTAATGCCTTCATGCAATTCAACTTGTTTTCTCATATATGCCGCTTGAATGGAAATAGCTAAGTAAATGGTACCTGGGTAGGGAATTTTCCCATAGGTGACAATTTCATACAGGAGAATTCCAAAGGACCACACATCAGACTTAATGGTGAAGCACCCAAAGTTGATGGCTTCTGGAGCTGTCCACTTAATAGGGAACTTAGCACCTAAAGAAGAAGATAAAGGGCTCTTACTTGGTGTGTGAGCTTAGACAAAAAGTCACATGTGTGTAACCTGTGACCCTCACACTTTCCTTTAAAAAAAAAAATTATTTTGAATAGTTAACACAAACACATAGAATAAAATAGAGATGGTACAAAATGTTATTCTAAAAATGTTCACCTCCCTCCTCTGTTTCCCTTTTGAGTGTTCCTCTTACAAAGTAAAGTTTCTTGGGTCTCCTCTCAAAGATATAACTAGGCAACTTTAAGCACAAAAGAACATGAGGCAGAACATAAAGGAATTTACTCTTAGCTTGTACATTTGTCCCTCTACACCAGCCTCTAATGCATATATTTAGCATTCAAACTTTCTCTAGTGAACATATACTATGATCATATGGAATATAAATATATTTTTAATGTTTATATATTTGTGGATAAATACCTTTAAGGCTGTACCAATAAGAATCTCAAATGCTGCTTCAAACTTTAGGAAATAATGTCCCATTCTTTCATTTGGTAGGGAAAAACACCATTAAACTTTTAAGTACTGGGTAGAATGATGATGTGCCTAGAATGAGTCAGTGATGAAAACAGTCTTCTCAAGAGGAGCTGGTGAGGCTGAAGGACACTTAGCTCTCTGCACTACACCACACTGTCTCATGTGAAAATACTTGTGGTGTGACTCTACCAGTTGTCAAGCTGAGTCAACTTCGACTCATGGCCACCCCATGTGTGTCAGAGTAGAACTGTGATCCATAGGGTTTTCAGCTCCATGTGGCTGATTTTCTAGAAGTAGATTGATCACTAAGCTTTTCTTCTGAGGTGTCTCTGGGTGGACTTGAACCTCCAATCTTTCAGTTAGCACTCAAGCACATTAACTGTTTGCACCACCACCCAAGGACTTCTGGTGAGTCCTCTAGACTTGTCAAATTCAACAGAACTAGTCAATGATGTCGCCATGAGTCGAAATCAACTTGACGGCAACTAACAAAAAAACACTAGTCACAAATGAGCTTCTCTAAAAGGACACTTTAGTGGAATAAATTTTGCTCATATACTAGACTTCCCTGGTTTGAACCCTGGTTTAACCACTTACTGTGTGTCCTTGGAAAGCTGCTTAACCTCTTAGTTTCCTCATCTATAAGGGGCAAATAATAGTAATAATACCTGTTACATAGGGGTATTGTAAAAATACATGAGATAATGTATGAAGAGCACTTAGAATAGTGTAAATATAAATACACTGTAAACGGTGGATACATTTTAGCTAATTTATGTAACTCCTTTTCCTCAAACTATTCTTCATCTGCCTTTCTGCTGTAAAAATTATTAAACCCAGAAAACTAAAACAAATCTGCTGCCGTCAAGCTGATTCAGACTCACAGTAACCCTGTAGGACAGGGTAGAACTGTCCCATAGAACTCCCAAGGCTGTAAATCTTTATAGAAGCAGGCTGCCACATCCTTCTTCCAAGGAGCAGCAGGTGGGTTCGAACCACTGACTTTTTAGTTGGCAGCTGAGCACTTAACCACTGTGCCACGAGGGCTGCTTAAGCCCAGAGATAGAGATATAAAAACCACTTTAGGCAGAAAAGAAAAAAAAAAAAGCCCCACTCAAGAGAGCACAGACTGGAGGCAGGAAGAGAATCAACTTTAAATAAAAAACTTTAAATAAGCAGAGAAATTCTCAACAAATTGAATCTGTTTGTCACCTCTATAAGTTATGCCAACATCTTCCAAAAGGGACCAGAAATAACCCATCTGACAGTTAAAAGAAAAATGTCCCTTGCTTAACAATTACCAAGAATGTCAAGAAAATATTTCATTCTTGTGGAAGAGGGAAAGCATTGCAAAGACATTCTCTCTTGACTTTGTGGTGGGTGAGGCCATCAAAACCCTCAGATCATAACAGCGGGAGAGGCCAGAGCTGCTGAACCGGGGCGTGGCCACAGACCCCTGCGCAGGTGACCGAGGTGGCACTGTGCCTGGGTGGGGGATTCACATCTTTTTGTGCATGTTTGGGTCACACACACAATACTGAATGTAGGAAAGCACAGGAGTATATTTTTGTAGCATATTTAGTTCTGTGTGCATGGTAATTTCCATGTTTTAATTTGTATTGGGAGGGCAGACTAGATTTAACATTGAATATAGAATTAACACTACAAATATTTTCTGTACAGTTAAGGAAAGGGTACTTCATCATTTGTATGAAAAGCTTTAACATATAACGTTAAACAAATAAGCTTGAGCTTGCCCAGTTAATGTTTTTTGCTTTCCTTAATTGAAATACAAATGTCAGCATTTCTAGACTTTATAAAAGCATCATGTAGAGGTAATCAAGAGAGTAATTCTGAAAAGACTTTATTAGACTAGTATGATAAACAGATCAATACAGTACATTTTTAACATTGTGCCAAATAACTTTTCTTATGATGAACATTTTAATTGCTTTGCTAAAAACAGACAGAACTAAACAACAACAAAAACCCTAGCAGTGGTCACTAGTGCATACCTTCCCGTGCAGTGTACTCGTTGTCCTCAATAATGCGTGCGAGGCCAAAGTCGGCGATTTTGCACATCAGGGACTCCGACACCAAGACATTGGCTGCTCGAAGGTCTCGGTGGATGTAGTTCTTCCTTTCGATGTATGCCATTCCCTCCGCAATCTGCACAGACAGAAAGGCTCTCATTTTCGTTTTCGTGTTCAGGCTCTTAGAGCCAGCCAGGGCAAACAAAACACGAGTACCTGAAATCTGTTTATGTCTGTGGATAAATGACAAGCCCCATCTGGAGTCCTTTCTAAAACAACTGTCCCCAACTCTCCAACGATGGTCTTTCTTTTTCTTAATAGCAACACTTCTCAACATTTTCTAATGTGCGGAGAATCTTTTTAAAACCTAAGTTCCCACATGTGGACAGACAGATGTCATTACCCCGGGAGAAAGTGGCATGCTAACACAAATAAATTATTGGATGTCCAGAGCAGGATGTCTGTGCTGAACAGCAGCATCTCCTGTCAGCTTATCAACAGCTTGTGGAAATGGTTTTCCACGTTCTCTGCACTATCCTTCCAGGATGATCTGAGAGGTTGCGTCTGACCACAGAGCATGGCAGCAGGAGAGAATGAGAAATTTAAACAAACAATAAAACAGGGGAGATGAAAACTTGTTGCTTAACAGAAAATGTGTCATTGTTCCAGAATTAGGTTTTTAAAGAAAACATTACCAAATTATAAAGCTAAGGATCTTAAAAAAAAAAAAAAAGAAGAAGAAGAAGAAAAAGAAAGGAAAAAAGAAAACCAAGCAGATGTAGCTGATGAGGAGTTGGAGGGAAAATTCTAATTAGGATTATGCCACACAGGACTAAACTCTGCCAGATTCTACCTTGAAATCCTGGTGGCTCAGCTTGGAGGGCCTTCAGCATCTGATTTTCCCCAGTTACCTGCAACAGCCTCCCTGTTATCACTCAGTTCAAACCAGGGCTTTGACCCAATTCAGTCCGGTTTGAACCCCTGCTGAGAATTTGCATTTCCACCCCAGATACACTGAATCAGAATCTACAGTTTAACAAGATACCCAGGTGATTTTTATGTATAATAAATTTTGAGACACTGCTCTACTAGTGGTTTTCAGAATTGGTCCCTAAACAGCAGCATTAGCGTCGTCGCTGGGAAACTTGTTAGAAATGCAAATTCTCAGCAGGAGTTCCAACCAGAACGAACTGGTTCTAAGCTCTGATTCAAACCCCGTCTCAGCCAGCTATGTGGCTTAGTGAGAAATCTGTTGTTAGCTGCCATTGAGTTGGTCCCTGTCTCATGGTGACTCCACGCACAACAGAACGCTGTGATTCATAGGGTTTTCATTGGCTGATTTTTAGAAGTAGATCACCAGGACTTTCTTCCTGGCCAATGTACCTCATGTGCAGCCATCACCTGTGTGTCAGTGAAGGCTCGTGTGTTCTGATGCTGAGCAGGTTTCAGCAGAGCTTCCAGACTAAGTGAAAGAATAGCTCGTTGTTATTGGAAATTCATGCCCGTCTCTCTGCCTGGAATGCCTTTCCTTCCCTCTCAGGCAATCCCTAGGTTTACCTTCTGCCCCTGGAGCCTTTCCTGAATTCCTCTTCTAGAATTCCTCTTTACCCGTACTCCTTGTCATGGAGTCAATTCCCACTCATAGCAACCCTACAGGACAGAGCAGAACTGCCCCAGAATTCCTCTTTATTTGCCTGCAACACCTAGTTTGTACAAAAATCATTTGTACCTACTGATAATAGCTTTGTAATTATTTTTATGCTGCTTGATGTGAGTATTGCTGTCATGCCAACCAGACTATAAACACCTCCAGGTCAAAAGCCACGCCTTCTTTCTTTTCTATTCTCACTTCTGTCTGTTGGAATCTTCAATCATTTGACAGAGCCAAAGAACGTTTTTTGGAAAATATGCTAGGTTTTGTATACAGGCAGTCTCCGGGTTATGAACATCTGACTGATTTCCATACAATCCATACTTACAAACCAATTCTCGTAAAGCCTAGTATATTAAAAATTCAAGGTACGCACAATGGTTCTTAGTAACAAACCAGCGCTACTTTGCGACGCACATCAAAACATTATTATTATTAATGTATTATTATGTTAAAGATGTTCTAGTGCATCTGGAAGTGCTTCTTTAATGTTTTTTGTACATAGAAAGCTACACTATATACTACGACAAACATTCCACCACTCGTCTATCACTTTGTTGTACTGTGATGGCTTGTGTGTTGTTGTGATGCTGGAAGCTAGGCTACTGGTACTGCAAATAGTAGCAGGGTCACCCATGGTGGACAGGTTTCAGTGGAGCTTCCAGACTAAAACAGACTAGGAAGAAGGACCTGGCAGTCTACTTCTAAATAAAATTGGTCAGTGAAAACCTTATGAATAGCAGCAGAACATTGCCTGATATAGTGCCAGAAAATGAGCCCCTCAGGTGGGAAGGCACTCAAAAGATGACTGGGGAAGAACTGCCTCCTCAGAGTAGAGTCAATCTTAATGACATGGATGGACTAAAGCTTTCGGGACTTTCACTTGCTGATGTGGCACGACTCAAAATGAGAAGAAACCTCTGCAAATATCTATTAGTAACTGGAATGTGGAATGTATGAAGTATGAATCAAGGAAAATTGGAAGTCGTCAAAAACGAAATGAAACTCATAAAGATCACTATCCTAGGCATTACTGAGCTGAAATGGACTGGTATTGGCCATTTCGAATTGGACAATCATATGGTCTACTATGCTGGGAATGACAAGTTGAAGAGGAATGGCATTGTATTCATCATCAAAAAGAACATTTCAAGAGCTATCCTGAAGTACAATGCTGTCAGTGATAGGATAATATCCATATGCCTATAAGGAAGACCAGTTAATACAACTATTATTCTAATTTACATACCAACCACTAACGCTAAAGATGAAGAAATTAAAGATTTTTACCAACCTCTGTAGTCTGAAATTAATCAAACATGCAATTAAGATGCATTGATAACTACTGGTGATTGGAATGTGAAAGTTGGAAACAAAGAACGATCAGTAATTGGAAAATATGGCCTTGGTGATAGACACTGGAGATTGTATGATAGAATTTTTCAAGACCAAAAACCTATTCATTGCAAATACCTTTTTTCAACAACGTAAACGGAGACTATACACATTGACCTCAACAGATGGAATATACAGGAATCAGATTGACTATATCTAAGGAAAGAGATGACAGAAGAGCTCAATATTATCAGTTAGAACAAGGCCAGAGACCGACTGCGGAACAGACCATCAATTGCTCATATGCAAGTTCAAGCTGAAACTGAAGAAAACGAAAACAAGTGCAAAGTACGACCTCGAGTATATCCTACCTGAATTTAGAGACCATCTTAAGAATAGATTTGACGCATTGAGCATGAATGACCAAAGACCAGACGAGCTGTTGGATGACATCAAGGATATCACATATGAAGAAGGCAAAAGTCATTAAAAAGGCAGGAAAGAAAGAAAAGACCAAAATGGATTTTAGAAGAGACTCTGAAACTTGCTCTTGAATGAAGAGTTAGCTAAAGCGAATGGAAGAAATGATGATGTAAAAGAGTGGAACAGAAGATTTCAACAGGCAGCTCAAGAAAACAAAACAAAGTATTATAATGACATGCAAAGACCTGGAGTAAGAAACCAAAAAGGAAGAACACATTCAACATTTCTCAAGCTGAAAGAACTAAAGAAAATATTCAAGCCTCAAGTTGCAGTATTGAAGGATTCTATGGGCAAAATATTGAACACACAGGAAACATCAAAAGAAGATGGAAGGAATACACAGAATTATTGCACCAAAAAGAATTGGTCGACATTCAGCCATTTCAGGAGGAGACATATTATCAAGAACTGATGGTACTGAAGGAAGAAGTCCAAGCCATACTGAAGGCACTGGCAAAAAACAAGGCTCCAGGAATTGATGGAATACCAATTGAGATGTTTCAACAAATGGATGCAATGCTGGAAGTGCTCACTCATCTATGCCAAGAAATTTGGAAGATAGCTACCTGGCCAAGTGACTGGAAGAGATCCGCATTTGTGCCCATTCCAAAGAAAGGTGACTCAACAGAATGCAGAAATTATCAAACAATATCATTAATATCATACGCAAGTAAAATTATGCTAAAGATAATTCAGAAGTGATTACAGCAGTACATCGACAGGGACCTGCCAGAGATTCAGGCTGGGTTCAGAAGAGGATGTGGGACAAGGGATATAATTGCTGATGTCAAATGGATCCTGGCTGAAAACAGAGAATACCAGAAAGATGTTTACCTGTGTTTCATTGACTATGCAAAGGCATTCGACTGTGTGGATCATAAATTATGGAGGCAGGTGTTCCAACAGAACAAGGGGATACTGAGTGGTTTAAAATCAGGAAAGGTGTGTGTCGAGGTTGTATCCTTTCACCATACTTATTCAATCTGTAGGCTGAGCAAATAATTTGAGAAGCTGGACTACATGAAGAAGAACATGGCATTAGGATTGGAGGAAGACTCATTAACACCAGCAATATGGAGATGACACAACCTTGCTTGCTGAAAGCAAAGAGGACTTGAAGAACTTACTGATGAAGATCAAAGACTACAGCCTTCAGTATGAATTATACCTCATCATAAAGAAAACAAAAATCCTCACAACTGGACCAATAAGCGACATCATGATAAATGGAGAAAAGATTGAAGTTGTCAAGGATTTCATTTTTCTTGGATCCACAATCAACACCATGGAAACAACCGTCAAGAAATCAAAAGAAGTCTTGCATTAGGCAAATCTGCTGCAAAGGTCTCTTTAAAATGTTAAAAAACGAAGATGTCACTTTGAGGACTAAGGTGTGCCCGCCCCTAGCCATGGTATTTTAATTGCCTCATACGCATGTGAAAGCTGGACAATGAATAAGGAAGACAAAAGAAGAACTGATGCCTTTGAATTATGGTGTTGGCAAAGAATACTGAAAACATCATGGACTGCCAGAAGAACGAACAAATCTGTATTGGAAGAAGTACGTCCATAATTCTCCTTAGAAGCGAGGGTGGTGAGACTTCATGTCACATACTTTGGACATATTATCAGGAGGGACCAGTCCCTGGAAAAGGACATCATGTTTG